TTTTTTTTGAATGCTATTGTGAAGAGTGTGGTTTCCTTAATTTCTCAGGGGATTTGTTGTTTTGTACAGGAATACTGTTTATTCTTGAGTGCTGACTTTGTATCCAGTTACTCAACTGAATTTTGTTATTAAATCTAGAATTCTTTTGGTGTAGTTTTTGGTATCTTCTATGTAGAGTATCACATCATCTATGAATAAAGATAATTTAACTTCTTCCTTTCTTATCATTATTCCTTTTATTTCTCTCTTGTCCAATTTCTCTAGCTAATGTTTTTAGAACTATATTGAATAGAAGTAGTGATAGTAGACATCCTTGTCTTGTTTCTGCTTTTACAGTAAAAGCTTTCAGTTTTTGCCCATCTAGTATGATGTTGGCTGTTAGTTTTTTATGGATTGCTTTTGTCAGGTTGAGATAAAGACCAGCTATTCCAATTTTCTGTAGGGTTTTTACCATGAATGAGTGTTGGTCTTTGTCAAATGCTTTTTTGGCATCTATTGAGATGATCATGTAGTTTCTAATCTTGGTTCGGTTAATATGGTATATTAAATTTATTGATTCACATATGTTGAACCATCTTTGCATCTATGGGACAAATCATAGTTGATCACAGTGTATAATCTTCCTGATGATTTGCTGAATTTGTATCTTACTGAGGTTTTTTGCATGTGTGTTCATTAGGGAGATTCACCTGTAGTTATCTTTTTTTTTTTTTCTGGTTCTGGTATCAAGGTAATACTTATTTGCACAGATGAATTTAGGAGTATTGCTTCCTTTCAATTTAATTAAAGAGTTTGAGAAGTAATGGTATCAGATCCTCTCTAAATGTCTTGTAGAATTCAGCAGCAAATCTATTAGCTGGTCTTTTACTTGTTGGTAGGTTTTTAGTTACATTCTCAATTTCATTGACTGATATTGAGTATTGGCATTATAAGTCACTTGCAAATACTGTTTAATTTCTTTTCTCTTTCTTTCTTCTTTCTTTCTCTCTCTCTCTCTTTCTTTCTCTTTCTTTCTTTCTTTCTCTTTCTTTCTTCTTTCTTTCTTTCTTTCTTTCTTTCTTTCTTTCTTTCTTTCTTTCTTTCTTTCTTTCTTTCTTTCTTCTTTCTTTTTTTATACCAGGGATCAAGCTTAGGATCTTGCACTTGCTTATGCTGCTGAGTTATTTTCCCAGATTCTTCTTCAATTTCACCTGTGAACCATTTGTTGTTCAGCAGGGTGTTATTTAATTTCTACTTCTTTATGCAGTTTTTGTGGTTTCTTTTGCTAATGATTTCTAGTTTCATGGCAGTATAGTCAGATAACATGTATGGGTTAATTTCAATTCCTTTGCTTTTACTTAAGCACGTTCTATGTGCTAGTATGTGGTTTATTTTGGACAGTGTCTCATATGCTGCTGAGAAGAATGTTTATTCTGATGTTGTGGGGTGGAAAGCCTAGTAGTTAGACATTTACTAAGTCCATTTGCTCACAGGTTTGGTTCAGTGCTGATATTTCTTTTCTCTTTGTGTAGTTGATTTATCTTGTTTTTGTTTTTTAACACAGGGTCTTTCTTTTTAGTTCAGACCAGTCTTGAACACACTATATAGCTAGAAAGTACATAGGTTGGCCTTGACTTCACAGTGATATTCCTGCCTCAGCCCCCAAAGTGTTGATCTTACAGGTGAGATCTATGTAATTGTGACAATAGGATATTAAGGTACCCCATTACAACTGTGTTAGTATTTATTTTATTTTTCATGTCCATTAATTTTTTTATATAGTTGGGTACACCTGTATTTGGTGCACACATATTTAGGTTTATTATCTCTTCATCTTGGAGTTTTCCCTTAATAAGTATTGTGATGGTTGATACTTTGGGCCAACTTGAGAAGTCAGAAGCTTGGCTGGATCAGCTCAGTGACTCCATGCCCTAGAGTGTGGAGGCCCCTCCGGAGGGTGTGGAGGATCTGCCCTTGAGTGACTTGGCACAAAAAGGATATAAAAAGGGAC